CATGATTTGAGCGATAATAACAATGACATACATAAAATATAAAATTATATTAAAAAATTAGACGAACAGCAATGTTTCGGTCCATTAGGACATATATGTTTCCGTTCAGCGCTACAAATGGGCCCCATCAGTATTACGATTGTGGTGTTAATGAGGAATAATGTAAAATAAGACACAATAAATTTGAAATAACTCGCTCATTCCCTCACTGCTTCTCTAGTAGCGCTACTGCGTAATAAAGAGATGTGATACTAATTGCTGAGTATGGCACTTTTTTCAACGGAAAATGTATTTTGAGATGCGTATATGTGCTATCAAGCGGTCTTAGTGAAAAAGGTGCATCAGCTGAAGCACCAGGATGGTAAAAAGAAGGGAAGGTAAGGTATGATGTTAATGGATTTAATGCAGCAGCAGCAACAGCAGCAGCAGCAGCTTCTCCTCGCTTATCCTTAACTGCTTCACTTTCCTCCAATCGGTAAGCCCTCAGGCAATAAAAATGAATCATTCAAATGAGCAACAATTTGCTGCTGATCGAAGAAGCTGCTAACAGCTATCACGACTATCTACCGCTGCTCACATTCCGTGCACCTCACCCATCCTCACCTCCTTCGCTCCCATGTGTGCAGCCCACACCTCCAAGACTCAGACCTCTTATATCACTTAAAAGCAATTTTCGAAAAAGAACGATGTGTGACCTTTCTACTAGCAGCCGCTCTACAGTGTTAGTGGAATGTTACTGAGATCCACGAATAGGTCAGGAGCGGCCATGCCAAGCCTCTTTGGTCTTGAATTTCTTCACTTCCAGACGCTTCAGGATTGACTTTCGCAGGGACAATGGTTACTTTTCAGTGAGATGAACCAGAGGCCATCAGCTTCCATACATGCTCTGGTTCTCAGTTAAGCTCTTTACTCTGGATGAGTCAGCACGTTCTGGGTCCATGCTTTGGGTCACTTAACCTCTTATATCATTTAAAAGCAATTTTCGAAAAAGAACGATGTGTGACTTTTCTACTAACAGCATCTCTTGAATAGCTATTCTGCTGGCTTTATAATAAATTTAGTTTGAATACTTAAATCTACATAATCCGGCAATTTTGACTTCACAACAAAATATCGTTTCCCCACTCTATTCGTTTTATTGAGCAAAGCGGATTACTGAGTGATACCCATGCAATGTTAAAAAAACACAGAGCACGACCCTCCGGAATCACTCAGTCGGCTGTATGGGATTATGTGAGGTCAAAACGATGAAGGAAGGAGAA